TCCTGCGCCCCTCAGCAGAGCTTCGGGGGAGGGTCTTCCGGCGGAGGTGGTAGCTGCGGCGGCGGCTCCTCAGGCGGCGGCGGCGGCGGCTGCGGCGGAGGCTACTCCGGCGGCGGCGGCTGCGGCGGAGGCTACTCCGGCGGCGGCGGTGGCTGCGGCGGCGGCGGCGGCGGCTGCGGAGGCGGCTCCTCCGGAGGCGGCGGTGGCTCCAGCTGCGGAGGCGGGTCCGGGGGTGGCTCCTCCGGGGGCGGCTCCGGAGGTGGCAAGGGGGTCCCTATCTGCCACCAGACGCAGCAAAAGCAGGCTCCTAGCTGGCCATGCAAGTAAGGCCCTCCGGTCGCCACGGAGACCGAGGAGCTGGGGGTGTTCTCCGTGGGCGCCTGTGGGCTTAACTTTCTCATGAGATTGCCCGAGGTTTCGAAACCCTTCACCACACCCGCCCCCTAGAAGAAGCCATCCAGTCGCTCGAGCTGCATCATCTTCTGCAGTTTTTTCGTCTTGGTTTCTGAATGACTACCTCCCAATTCCAGTACCTCCTCAATAAATTTGCAATTCATGAGAATCTCTGAGTCTCCAGTAGTCTTTGTAGCTTGTGAATTTACTCCATTCTGTTCTTGCTCCTTTCATCCCATCATTCGTCCACACTTAAATTCATTCAACAAGTACTCTACGTAAAGGTTTGGGGCGGGGCCGGTACATAGTGGAACGGCTGACAGCGAAGACCAAGGAGGTGCACAGTCTGGTTGGTGGCTTAAAATCCCAAGACTGTCCCCTAAACACAAAGAAAACACCTCACTGGACATCCTCCACATCCCTGAAGTGGGGCAGTCGCCAGCAGTGGGTGGGAAGTCTGCAGGCAATTTGTAGCAGTGCAGGGCTTACTCTGCAAGTTCTGGAAGCAGGGTGGCCGTAACACTAGCGTGCCAATAAGGAGTACAGAAGAAAAAAAAAAAAAAAAAAGGCAACAACTACTTTGAAATTCCTTTTCCACCACCCCTTTAGCTCTTCTGCCCCTTCCCAATCCTTTTTGCTAAAGAGATCCCTTTTCTCGTGTTTAAGCTAACTACCAGAGGTCCAAGGCCATTTAGCCGTTCTGACCGGAGAAGGACATGCATCTCCGAACAAGAAGACCCTCTCCCATGTAATCTTCCTGCTCACTGTAACCTTCCCCTTCTTTTCCTTCTCCGTTAGTCCTTATTCATGACCCATGAGAGAGCCTTAAGGCAATAGAGAGAGAGAGACCCTCTATGTCTTCTCAAGATTGCCAGTCGTTAAATAAACCCGATTCCCTCCTACCAATGCCGCGCTCTTGAATACTGACACTGAAGCAGGGGTATTCTGGCTTTGTTACTCTGTTAGCAAAATATTACATCAGATACTCAAGAACCTCTGCAGTGTTAGCACTCTGCTGCAGAGGGACAGAAGGCAGCCCTGTTGAAGGATTGAAGAGTAGCTTTCGTCAAACTTGAGAAGGCATATCATAAATGTGTGGGCTTCTCCATCACAGAGGTCACGAGAAACATCGGGAACCTCCTGATTAGCAAGCAAAAAGATAGGGTTGCTCCATAAGGGATGCGGATGCGTGAGCAAACTACCAAGCAGTCAGTCGAGATGTATATAGACCATCCCCTGGCCAGATCCTGTTCTGGTCAGATGTTAACAACTTTAGGCAAATATGAACTTACTGCTTTACTCAACTTAGTTGTGCAACATTAAAAAGCCACTGCTCCTTTCCTATATTTAGTTAATATTAGAAATAAAGACTTCACCTGACTCTTCCACATAAAGTTATGATTTGCACCAGAGACATAAAGAGCAAACCATGTCACTAAGGAGCGACTTCAGTGACATGGCAGTCCAACCAGTATAATTTTATTAATTAAATGTATTCTTTAACATGGTTATAGTACATTCTGATTACTCACGCCCTATCCTTTTCTATCTCTCTCCCAACCCCTATCAATCCTCACCCTCTCCACAAACCCCTTTCCCACATTCTTGTCATTTGTTTGCCTGTTTTGTAGCCCACTGAGTTATGAGCATCTGTACGAGCATGGTGTGTGAAGTGTCCATTGTGTTCTGATGGGATTCCCCAGTGGGTACACAACTGAAGCTAGTGACTCCCCCTCACAGAACCTACCACGAGAGACAATACTTCAACAGGGCGTGGTGGGGCTCCATGAGGCACCCCTCCATCCATGGCTGACTGTTAACAGAACCAGTCTTGTGCAGGGTTGGTACAGGCTCTCATATTCTTTGCACCCTCTCTTCTAAAACCTTACTTGAAGCGTGGAGGAATATTTTCCTTAGGACTGAGTGTTCAGTTACTGAAATAGCTAAAAGAGCTAATGGCAAAACGAAGTTGTGTGTGTGTGTGTGTGTGTGTGTGTCTGTGTGTGTCTGTGTGTGTGTCTGTGTGTGTGTGCCTGTGCACGCACAGGAGCAGTTTATTGGAAGCTACAGGGGAGTGAGGGGGGAGAAAGAGAAGCAAGAAGTATGCACAAAGAAAAGAGAAGAGGAGGAAGGACATAGACAGAGGGAAGAGGGAAAGGAGAGAGGAGAGGAAAAAGAAAGGGCCAGAGGAATCAAAATGTCTGGATTACATAGTGAAGGACCTCTGGGGGAGGGAAAGCGCCTCCCCCGAGCTGGGGGATTCAGGGTAGGGGGCAGGGTGTGCCAGCATGCCTTGCATGTAGAGACCAAGGGACGTCTGAAGCCAAACACTCAGGAATCATTTATTTTCAGCATGTTGAGCAGCCATGGATTTCTACATTTACTACTGTTCTGTGTAAAGAAAGGCTTCTTTGATTATGTTTCAGAGTAGCATTTGTCTGAGTACAAACACAGATGTTTAGAGGGAAGTTTAATGCTACATCAACTTAGCACAGAAATGGTAATAGGATTTCCCCTACGGCAATGAGTGGTTCTCAGCCTTACTGGGTCAAATGACCGTTTCACAGAGGCCACCAAGACTATTGGAAAACAGATATTTACATTACAATTCATAACAGTAGCAAAATTTCAGCTTTTAAATAGTAACAAAATTAATTTTTTGGTTGGGATCACCACGATATGAGAAACTATATTAAAGGATCACAACACTGGAAAGCTTAAGAACCACTGTGAGAGGGACTATGACTTCCCAGTCTACCAGGTTTATAGTACCAGGAATGAATTTCCTCCTGTGGCTCAGGCTTCCAATCCAGAGAGCAGCTAGTTGCCCCATACCAATTGTGCTTCTTTTATATGAGTGACACATCTTGTATTGCTGATTAATGTTGTAATTTGAGGGATTCGCCGAGTAATACCATTGATACTTTCTCTCCCCTCGAAGCCTGCCTTGCACCTACCTCCCAGCACCGTGAAAGATAGTCAGCGGAGAGAAAAATTCCAGCTCTTTGATTTCATCATATCTTACAACTAAGGTAGGGTGTATCCTCACCAATGAGGTCTTGCTTATAATATATTTATAAATATAGCTATTTATAAATGTATTATGAATTAAAATATATTTTTAAATAGGTTGTATTGGTTTGGGGGATTCTGAGGCTTCCCTAACCAACAACTCGTAAGAGACTGTTTTCTACAGGGTCCTGGTAATTCTGCCTGGTACCCACTGACTAGAGAAACATCAGCACCAACCATGCAGATTCTCTTTCTTAAATCATTTATTTTAATTCTGCAACCTGTTTTATTTTTTAATTAATTTTTTATTTTTATATTAGTTACAGCTTATTCACATTGTATCTCAGCTGTAGCCCCCTCCCTCATTTCCTCCCAATCCCATCCTCCCTCCCTCATCTCCTCCCATGCCCCTCTCCAAGTCAACTGATAGGGGAGGTCCTCCTCCCCTTCCATCTGACCCTAGCTTATCAGGTCTCATCAGGACTGGCTGCACTGTCTCCCTCTGTGGCCTGGCAAGGATGCTCCCTCCTCAGGGGGGTGGGTGATCAAAGAGCCAGCCACTGAGTTCATGTCAGAGACAGTCCCAGTTCCCCTTACTAGGGAAACCCACTTGGAGACTAATCTGCCATGGGCTACATCTGAGCAGGGGATCTAGGTTATATCCATGAATGGTCCTTGGTTGGAGTATCGATCTCAGAAAAGACCCCTGTGCCCAGATATTTTGGTTCTGTAATTCTCCTTGTGGAGCTTCTATCCTCTCTAGGTCTTACTATCTCCCCATTCTTTCATATGATTCCCTGCACTCTTACCAAAGTTTGGTTATGAGTCTCAGTATCTGCTTTGATACACTGCTGGGTAGAGTCTTTCAAAGGCCCTCTGTGATAGACTCCTGTCCTGTTCCCTGTTTTCTCCCTCTTCCAATGTCCATCCCATTTGCCTTTCTGAATGAGGATTGATAATCTGACCATTGATAATCCTCTTTCTCCCTTAGCTTCCTTAGGTGTACAGATTTTAGTATGGTTATCCTATATTATATGTCTAGCATCCACTTAAAAGTGAGTATATACTGTGAGTGTCTTTCTGCTTCTGGGATACCTCACTCAGGATTATCTTTTCTAGATTCCACCATTTGCCTTCAAATTTCATGATTTCCTTGTTTTTAATTGCTGAGTAGTATTCCATTGTCTAAATGAACCACAATTTCTGTATCCATTTCTCCATTGAGGAACATCTGGGTTGTTTCCAGGTTCTGGCTATTACAAATAAAGCTGCTACTAACATGGTTGAACAAGTGTCCTTGTGTACTTGAGCTTCTTTTGGATATATGCCTAGGAGAGGAGTGGTATAGCTGGAACTTGAGGAAACACTATTCCTAATTGTCTAAGAAAGCACTAAACTGATTTCCAAAATGGTTGTACAAGTTTATATTCCCACCCAGCAATGGAGGAGGGCTCCCCTTTCTCCACATCCTCTCCAGCATGAATCATCCATCGAGTTTTTCTTAGCCATTCTGATGGGTGTGAGGTGAAATCTCAGGGTTGTTTTTATTTGCATTTCCTGAATGACTGACTAAAGACTTTGAGCATTTCTTTAAGTGTTTCTCTACTATTCGATATTCCTGTTAATAATTCTCTGTTTATTTCTGGACCCCATTTTTTTTCTTTTTTTTTTATTAATTACACTTTATTCATTTTGTATCACCCCAGAAGCCCCGCGCTCCTCCCCTCCCTATCCCACCCTCCCTCCCTTTTCTGCATGCATGCCACTCTCCAAGTCCACTGATAGGGGAGGTTCTCCTCTCCTTTCTGAACTTAGTCTATCAGTTCTCATCAAAAGTGGCTTCATTGTCCTCCTCTGTGGCCTGGTAAGGCTGCTCCCCACTCAGGGGGAAGTGATCAACAAGCAGGCCAATCAGATTATGTCATAAGCAGTCCCTCTTCCCATTACTATGGAACCCACTTGGACACTGAACTGCCATGGGCTACATCTGTGCAGGGGTTCCAGGTCATCTCCACGAATAGTCCTTGGTTGGAGTATGATTTTCTGGGAAATTCCGTGTGTTCAAATTATCTTGTTCTGTTGCTCTCCTTGTGGAGTTCCCGTCCCCTCCAGCTCTTACTATTTCCCACTTCTTACATAAAATTCCATTC